GTTAGCGGCCAGTCAACGAAACCGGAAGCGTGCATTACTTTTATTATTAGAAGGGAAATCCTTATAATAGAAGGATATTTCTCAAGAGAAGACAACCCCTAATGTTGAGCCTGGAGTCAGCTTATGGCCATATATCAAATCTGTCATGGCCAGTAGGCCGTGGGCGTGGCACAATAGGACGATGTAACTCGGCTAATAGCTCTGCACAGGGTTAATAAACGACATAGGCGATTCTTAGGTCAGGGTTCAACGACATAGGTGTACCTTGAAGGGTAGCTATAACGACATGTGTATATTTTTATAGGATTATGACATAGGTTCATCTTATAGGATTATGACATACGTTTATCTTATAGAATTATGACATAGGTTTATCTAATAGAATTATGACATAGGTTTATCTTATATAATTATGACATAGGTTTATCTTATAGGATTACGACGTGTGTGTATCATACGAGAAAACGACATAAGTCTAGCTTAAAGAATAAACCATTTGACATAGGTGTATCTGCGAGGCGATTTAGCTCTGATATACAATACATGCTAATTTAAGTCAAGAGTAACTCTACAACTTAAGTGTATTTTAAAGGATAATTATGACATAGTTGTATCTTGCTGGAGGTGACGAGGTATCTATACGACAACTAGCGACTGGGGTAGGAACCAAGGGTTCAACAAGGTACACAATCTACAGGTGTAATTACGATACATAGGTAAAACATGGTGCGGCTAACAGTATAGTTTATTGAGTAAAAATTATTTGTAAAATGGTACTTCAAATATAGGGCGGCATGAACAAGAAAACAAACACTCACATTTTCTCTCTATTGATATATACACGTATAAATATTCATCAATACAGATATACGATGAGAGGCAAGTATAGAGAGATAAGAGGAACCGAAGTGGCCGTGTATTATGATGACCCCAGTAGAAGCAGGAGGTAAAACGTCACTTATGTCTGTGAGTCACGTGACTGAAAGAAGTTCTTGTAAACACGGAGAAGTGCAAGCTGACATCTGTAACAGGGACTTACCTTAACGGCCTTGACTTCACGCTCCTCTATAAGAGCAGAAGGTCGGCGCGACCTACTTAGCATGGGCATCAACGTTGTCGAGTTGCTGTTGCTTAATTCCGGCGCCCTCGTTGCCATGGTGACGGGCAAAGTTGCAGACTCCCGCGGGAAGAAGCTCCGAATGTAAACAGTACTAAACCACAGCGAGCCAGTCCAGCGACGGTGTGCCGAGAATAAATCAACACGGTTTGTCAATCAGATCGGCGATAACGTGACCGATGTGTCAATGAATGGTCCATATCACGGCGACACAGCACACAAACAAACTATGGTACCCAAAAGTCGAGGCTTTGAGTACCCAAACTAAGTGGGCCTGAACCGGTACGGGGTCAAGGTCTGGGTGGGGTCTGAACGGGCTGGTCAGTGGAGATCTGCTAAATTAACGAAGGTCAGTGGTAATGTTGGTTCAGAAATCAGACAATCAATGTTTCGCTGTTTATTAAGACGGACAATGTGGACAAAGATTGACTGAAGGAATATAAAGTAAGAACTGCTCAAGACGATATTAAAATTTCAGAAATTATGGTCTATCCTATAGCCAATACAGTACGTAGCCTGGCCCCAGAAAATATAAAGTGCCACTGTCAAAGTTACTACAGGCTGATGGTTCTAGCACCGATGTCTATTCTTCTCATCAAGATCTGACAATGGAACAAGACATAGGAGTTGTGGTTCAAGCTTTAGTGAGAGACTCGACAAGATTTCTGGTTGATACGGGCTGGCATTCCCAGTTCCAAACCCCGGACATGATGGAGAAATCGTTTGATGGGGACAGCAACCCATCTAGGAGAGAAGACTCCAAAATCAAACTACGGCTGCCTGGCAGATCGTTCTTGTCGGGAACAAAAATGAAGGAAGCAAACCCGGAAAGAAAATCAGGCAGAAAAGAGGTCCACGGGCCATATGTCGCATAGCAAAGTGAAACGTAATACTAATACTTTTTTATTCGAGGAAATCCCCGAAGGTCACCCACCTCACGAGTTTCCACCCACCCACTACACCCCCTGCCCATGTCTGCCACTCTACTACTACTACTACATCTAATACAGTTTAAGAAGGAAGAATAAGTCTATAATATATCAATTACATAACCACTGTGGTCTAAGCGTAAACTAACAAATCGTGCGACTATGTCTATGGTAAGAAACGAAACACTACATTACAATAACCGATGCTTACATTTTTACACGGCATTCACAATACGATTATAACATAAACCCAGTTGAATTGTTTAGACCAAAGTACTAGGTCTCTTAAAAAATGATACACTATCCAGTATTTACAATACGATTATAACATAAACCCAGCTGAATTGTTTAGACCAAAGTCCTCAGACTCTTGAAAAATTATACACCAACCGGTATTTACACTTCAGACGTCGTTGCACATACTACCTCCGAATATGATGGTATTTCATAGACCAATAGTTAGATAGAATGTGACAGAAAGAATGTCACCGTGCTGTGACAAAAAGAATGTCACCGTGCTGTGACAGAAAAAACGTTAGAGTTGTGACAGATAGAATGTCAGCGTGTTGTGACAGAACGAATGTCAGCGTGTTGTGACAGAAAGAATGTCACCGTGCTGTGACAGAAAGAATGTCACCGTGCTGTGACAGAAAGAATGTCACCGTGTTGTGACAAAAAGAATGTCACCGTGCTGTGACAGAAAGAATGTCACTGTGCTGTGACAGAAAGAATGTCACCGTGCTGTGACAGAAAGAATGTCACCGTGTTGTGACAAAAAGAATGTCACCGTGCTGTGACAGAAAGAATGTCACCGTGTTGTGACAAAAAGAATGTCACCGTGCTGTGACAGAAAGAATGTCACTGTGCTGTGACAGAAAGAATGTCACCGTGCTGTGACAGAAAGAATGTCACCGTGCTGTGACAGAAAGAATGTCACCGTGTTGTGACAAAAAGAATGTCACCGTGCTGTGACAGAAAGAATGTCACTGTGCTGTGACAGAAAGAATGTCACCGTGCTGTGACAGAAAGAACGTCAGAGTTGTGACAGAAAGAATGTCACCGTGAGTGTTAGAAAGAATGTCACCGTGCTGTGACAGAAAGAATGTCACTGTGCTGTGACAGAAAGAATGTCAGCGTGCTGTGACAGAAAGAATGTCAGAGTTGTGACAGAAAGAATGTCACCGTGAGTGTTAGAAAGAATGTCACCGTGTTGTGACGGTGTGAATGTCACCGTGCTGTGACAGAATGTCACCGTGCTGTGACAGAATGTCACCGTGTTGTGACAGAAAGAATGTCAGCGTGCTGTGACAGAAAGAATGTCACCGTGCTGTGACAGAAAGAATGTCACCGTGTTGTGACAAAATGAATGTCACAGGAGCCCATAACAAGCACGTGCCGCCACAACACACATAATAGCGACACGTGACCGGGTAAAAGATGTACTGTAGCACAGATTGTATCGCCGGTTCTCCCCTTCCTAAAGCAAACAGTGACAAAACTACACGACCTAAAATAGCTGTTGTTTCTCGAGACAAGGAAGACTAAAACCTAAGCGTTAGAAAAAGATTTAATTTCTCGAGACAAGGAAGACTAAAACCTAAGCGATAGAAAAAGATTTAATTTCTCGAGACAAGGAAGACTAAAACCTAAGCGATAGAAAAAGCTTTAATTTCTCGAGACAAGGAACATCTCACTAGACAAAACTTGATCCAGACAAGAATTAGGTGAAACCTAGATGATGTCAGAGAAAAACAAATCTACACCTAAATGAACCAATGTAGAACGTTCTCACTAATTTGCTCAGACAGGCGATACAGAGATCGTGTACAACCTTCTCCGTGTACCTGTCGCTATCGATACCATCTAATTGACGGTCATCATTTTTACCTGCCTAGCCGTTCGATGACTCTCCACATATTCTAGCTATTGAATATGTCAAATAAAACTTTTAATGTACGCGCTGTCTATAAACGACATGAGAATCTACCCGTCAATAGATCTCAATCAACTAGCCAGCTATTAGACTTCTCAATATATGCCGTCTATTCTACTTGTCAACAAAACGGCCGTCAAAATATTTTTCTCACTATTCTTTTCGCCCACAAAACAAAAAACTCCGCAATAAACTTAATCTGAATATTTTTTCATTCATGTCCGTTAAAAACATTAATGTTTCAATCTTCACATCTGAAACTTGTCAACAAATATACTCATCGTCCATTCAACCACCCCCCTCAAACAATATTTCGCAATTAACTTGAAATTCAACAAATCTTTTTCACTACAGTCCGTCCCAAAAAAACCTCAAAAATAAACCTCTTAAGACATTTCTAACACTATCCACAAATTACGTTTGTAATCACTGCGATTTTTTTCTGCCGTCCAATTAAGTTTTAATTCTGCCAACCAATAACTTAAACGGTGTGTGGTAAGAAGCTAACTATTCACTTTGTGTATATATATATATATATATATATATATATATATATATATATATATATATATATATATATATATATATATATATATATATATATATATATATATATATATATATATACATACATATATATATATATATACATATATGTAAATATATACACTTTTAAATATGTATACACATATTTAATTATATATTATACATTGATTTATTTCCAGTAGGTCTCGTTTAAAAAGATAGACCAAGAGTAACAAATCTCCTTACGAACGATGAAAAAATGCACTTCACGACTTAGTGGAAAAAAAACCAGCACACGTTTCACTTTGGTGAGAAAACAGTCACGCACCGCCGCGAATAGGCCCACAGCTACAACCACCACAGATAATCCACAGGGAAAAAAAAAGTAAGTCGCGAGTCCGACGTATCTCGCCACTGTGGAATTAATCCCAGCTACCAGCAGTGAAAAACTCCCCGAGTCACCGGTATCTCCCGTGACCCTGCTACTGGCTGGTGACGTCCCGAGTCACCTGCTAACGGTCGAGGCTGGGAGCTAATCTCTATGACGTCACCAGCTTACGTGATTGGCCAGCTTCACGCCACGGATGGTTTACACTGTGAAACTCCCAGAAAACAACTAGATGGTGAGTCCTAAACTTTCATTACAGTTGAGGGCAAATTAGTGGCTAATTAGTTGACGTTCTCCGCGGAATAGGAGCGTTCACGGTTCAGTACATCCGATTACAGCCCGATACAAACATGTGCTGCTAGCTTAGAGTTTCCATTACAGGGCTATAAATAGAGTGACAATGGTAAGTAGAGTTGTGTGTGTATCGGTGTTCAGGTCCGGGTTATTATGTTAATGGAGTCAGCTAACCACGAGAAGGTAAGGTTCAATTGGTAACACTTTGATGTGTCAGCTGATCTATGAGCACATTTATATTGTAGCGTTACATCTTCTATCTGGTTGGTTGACTTCTGTCACAGATACCCAGATCTCTATTGATAACTCGACACTTTTACCTCTCTGTAGTCTGTACCTCCCTTCATCTACAACTTTGTGGTTACCTCCATTCATCCACCTTACTTTTGTTACATCCATTCATCTACTAACCGGGTCCAGAACTAGACCTGGTATACCCCCCTTTAAGAGCTTTACACTACGGCTAACACCACCAGTGATGTGGAGCTAAGGACGACGTTCTAATCCCATTCATCAAGTGTACTCTTAAAGCGTGTCGTTTGTTGCTGTAAGCACCAGCCCACAGTCTGTGGTTGTAAACACACGGCCTAGAACAGATGAGATAGTCCGTCACATGCAGGCACATGCTGCTGCTGGTTTTAAAACATTCGCTAACTTACATGTAGGGCACACAACTGATAGGACTGACTGCTGATACTGCTTGGTTGTGGCGTCACTTAGGGGAGGGGATGTGGGCGGCACACGGTGACACATCACATAGGGAGGGGGTGAGCACGATTTCTTTCAGACATTTTTTCCCCCGGGGGTGGGGGGATGGGGACGACCACGGCACACATTTTTGATACCAAAAGTTGCTTATCTGACTGAGTATGTTTTAGAACCATGTTTCAGTTAGGACAGTGAGTCTAGTGGTTTAGCGCGACACAGGCTAATGATAAGTGGACATACAAACTTTCCGCTGATAGACATCTACATAAATTATACGAGCACGGTCAGAGTATAGATTTCTATAGTAATCTAAGCTTTGTCTTTCCATCAGTTAACGTATCAAGTCTTGGCAGATACACGTTTGAGGGTCAAAATACCGGATCAAGCCCGAGTTTTGAAGTGAAAACAAACGGCTTAACGTAGCAGAACAGCTGTAATTCTCACCAGGCAGGAATTCATTAGCCTGACGGGGCGAGCCAGATGGTATCGTGGTTTTAGTGCTAACAGTGTTGTACGTCATTACATACTGAGTGACACACACACACACACATACCAGCACAGTACGTCATTACATACTGAGTGACACACACACACACACACATACACACACCAGCACAGTACGTCATTACAGACTGAGTGACACACACACACACATACACACACCAGCACAGTACGTCATTACATACTGAGTGACACACACACACACACACACCAGCACACGTCTGAGTCAGACTACACACGGGAGGTCAATGGCACACATGGCAACAACAACCTCAGACCAGAGGTCACAGAATGACCCTACAACTAGAGGTCACAGTATGACCCTAAAACTAGAGGTCATAGTATGACGCTACAACTAGAGGTCACAGAATGACATCTAGAGGTCACAGAATGACCCTACAATCAGAGGTCACAGTATGACCCTACAACCAGAGGTCACAGTATGACCCTGCAACTAGAGGTCACAGAATGACCCTAAAACTAGAGGTCATAGTATGACGCTACAACTAGAGGTCACAGTATGACCCCACACATAGAGGTCACAGAATGACCCTACAACCAGAGGTCACAGAATGACCCTACAACTAGAGGTCACAGAATGACCCTAGAGGTCACAGAATGACCCTACAACTAGAGGTCACAGAATGACCCTACAACTAGAGGTCACAGTATGACCCTAGAACTAGAGGTCACAGCTTTCACCTAAGGCCACAGCTATGACCCAGAGCATAGCGAACAGAGGTCACACCTTTGAACTGCGACAAGATATCAAATCTCTGACCTGCTTCTACAGCTGTGTAAGTATTATCTAAGTTCTATCGTACTGGTGGGAGCTACTGGTGTATCTGTTACTGGTAAAACAAAACAAAAAATAGTATTTAAGGTCAAAGTCTTTAAACGGCTATACATTTACGAGGCCTTTATGTTTACCATTGCTAGATACACGCTAGAGACCTGGCGACTCGTATGATGTATCTTTTGGTCACTGACAGGAAGTCCGCAATGAGCAGACAACGAGGAAAACACCTGAAGAACCCCATCCCCAGTAAGTTTTTTTCTTCTTTTTTTTTCTAAAATCCTTTAATTAGATTAGACACTACCGGAATAGGTCAGGACGGAAAAGGCCCAGTTACCATAAATGGTCGACCTTTTCTCCTCTAGCGAGCCGCAGGACGCCATAAATCAGGGAGGTGACAGCGAGATGCCCGTCCCCAGCAAGATGGGCCGGCCACTTGCACCAGCCATAAAGCTGGCATGCCGGCTGTAAAATCAGCTGGATCATTGTTTTAGCTACCTCTCCATCCAATAACCTGCCCCAACACACAAGGTTACCCACATATCAACAAGGTGACTTTCATTTCATTACGTAAAAACAACGGGGCTAATGTTTTATTGTTTCTAAAAATGATCACTCATAATACTCATATAACTGAATACATTGTATATTCTCGCGTTATAGCAAAAAAAAAAAAATACCTCGCTAGCACTTGGTCTAGCTTAGTTACTTTTGCCAATTTCATTACCCAGGTCGAACATCTATTTATGACGTCCACGTTGGAAAGGGTCAGAGAAGCTCGACTTAAGGGAACTAGTGTAGACTGGAGGTTTGAATATACATAAACGTTTTTAAATCAAGAAAACCCATGTTGACATACGACCGCGTAAATCTATGAGGCGGGGCATCTTTATAAACTTCGTCCCTATGCAGTGACTGATGAATGAAAACATATAAAGAGGTCATTAACTCGATCCGGCCTAAAGGCTTGTTATAATGCTCCTTACCACTACATAAAATAATACTTTAAAAATTTTTCCATACAAAAACAAATAAGCAAGCCAACCGCACCCCCCCCCCCCCCCCGACGAAATAGAGGATGTAATTTATATAGAAAGTATATAATTTAACCAGTGCCCCACACACGGAAGTGTCAATTACCGTGGGGGAGATAAATGTCTAAAAGAAACTTTGACTTGACAAATTATTCGTTAGCGTGTATTTTTGTTACCTCAGAACTTAACCACAAACGTTGAACAAAAATGACGTCACACAACCAAGGGGAGGGGAGGAAACTTTAGCGGCGCTGTGGGTTATGGTGTGTGAGAAAAAAATAAATTAAAAAAAAAAAGCTTATACATATTTTTTAAGAACAATGATAAACAACTTAATTTGCTTTTGAAGTATGCTAATCTGGTGGGAGGGTTGATGTTGATCCTTCTCACGTCCTTTGGTGTGGGGTGGTGGCTATATGTAACTACGTATACGAGAGGGTGGGAATTAGTAATCCTTTATGGGCGACCCCAAACAATCACCATCTATGTGTGGTTGAAGTCGGGCTATAAGGGGGTGGATAGTGTACAACAATAGTGCCCCATTTTATCTACCAATTATAAAATAACATGGTTGTAAGAAAACGAAAAGCCCAAGAAGGAAGCTTTACGCCCTACAGTGGCCAGCTCAGGCCTGTAAGATTATAAGTGTTGGTGGCCTACACGTTGTCTAATGCAGGCCTGTAAGATTATACGTGTTGGTGGCCTACGATTTGCCTAACTCAGGCCTATAAGATTATAAGTGTTGGTGGCCTACACGTTGTCTAATTCAGGCCTGTAAGATTATACGTGTTGGTGGCCTACGATTTGCCTAACTCAGGCCTGTAAGATTATAGTGGCCCACAACTTGCCTAACTCAGGCCTGTAAGATTATAGTGGCCCACGATTTGCCTAACTCAGGCCTGTAAGATTATAGTGGCCCACGATTTGCCTAACTCAGGCCTGTAAGATTATAGTGGCCCACAACTTGCCTAACTCAGGCCTGTAAGATTATAGTGGCCCACAACTTGCCTAACTCAGGCCTGTAAGATTATAGTGGCCCACGGTTTGTCTAACTCAGGCCTGTAAGTGTAAGATTATAAATGCTAGTGGCCCACAAGTTGCCTAACTCAGGCCTGTAAGATTATAAATGTTAGTGTACCACGAGTTGTCGCTCCTGGGCTGGAATGTTCCCAGCTACCTGTCCCAAGTTTTACCTGAGAAATAGATGACAAGCTGTCACGCCCACAAACCTACATTTAGCACTAGCCTAAGAAATTCTTAGTCCCCAAATCTTCAGGACGCTAAATAAGGTCATAATTAAATAAAAAAAATTAGGGCAAGGTTTATAAGCGCTAACACTCCAAAAGCTGGGGATATTTAATGGGTAACCTATTTCCAATCTGAAATAAATTATTGAGAGTTAAAGCACTGATAAATAAATACGTATAAAATTGAGCGCGTTAATTAATTTAGACGATGTAACAAAACAATCAAATTCCAAGCTTCTGATACAAATATCGTCAAGTGTGACTCAAGTCAAAGGCGGAAAAAATAATACAAGGGAAACAACTATTTCTTTCTAGTGAGGTGAAAAAATTATTACGAGTTACGTAACTTTGCAAGCATGACATCGAAAAGTTTTTCAAAAATTTAGAGATGTCAAAAGTAATAGGGTTGGGAGTAGGGGTACATTTGACCAAACCTTTGACACTTTTCTGATGGATTGCACGAAGTGACACTTAACATTATCTCCTACCCACAAAACCTTAAAATTAAAATAGGGGTAGGCCAACGACGTTTGCTGCCTGTAAGAAACTGTGCAGAAGTTTGAGTAGACATTTGCTTAAGTCAAGCAAACATGCAGTCTGCCACCGGACGACATATATATATATATATATATATATATATATATATATATATATATATATATATATATATATATATATATATATATATATATATATATATATATATATATATATATATATATATATAAATATATATATATATATTAGTATAGAACACGGACAAGTGTCTTTACAAGAACCATCATGCTACTTGCCCATTAACCGTGCCTATATGTTCTTTTAACTAGCATCGTCGATAGAGAATTGAACCAAAGTATTAAAGTATCGTTACGCGCGATGCCCACAAACATGGTACGGCTAATCGATGAGAACACCGTTCCCGTTTCACAGCAAACGGATCAATGGTAACAGCGTGATGGATTCGAATGCGGCGCTTTAAATTTACACATCACGAAAAGCTTTTAACCAGTTTAATGGCACCTAAATTCAAATAGCTGAGAGGGACTGGTGTGATTTCCCTTTCTCGTTGACAGCTTCAACAGAGGTACTTTATGCTGGGGACGTAACACTAGAACATACGGTCACACGTACTAGTAGCCTACGTATCACGTACCACCAGAACATACGGTCACACGTACTAGTAGCCTACGTGTCACGTACCACCATAACATACGGGCACACATACTAGTAGCCTACGTGTCACGTACAATCCTGGGGACGTACCACCAGAACATACGGTCACACGTACTAGTAGCCTACGTGTCACGTACCACCAGAACATACGGCCACACGTACTAGTAGCCTACGTGTCACGTACCACCATAACATACGGGCACACGTACTAGTAGCCTACGTGTCACGTACCACCAGAACATACGGTCACACGTACTAGTAGCCTACGTGTCACGTACCACCATAACATACGGGCACATGTACTAGTAGCCTACGTGTCACGTACCACCATAACATACGGGCACACGTACTAGTAGCCTACGTGTCACGTACCACCATAACATACGGGCACACATACTAGTATCCTACGTGTCACGTACAATGCTGGGGACGTACCACCAGAACATACGGTCACACGTACTAGTAGCCTACGTGTCACGTACCACCATAACATACGGTCACACGTACTAGTAGCCTACGTGTCACGTACCACCAGAACATACGGTCACACGTACTAGTAGCCTACGTGTCACGTACCACCATAACATACGGGCACACGTACTAGTAGCCTACGTGTCACGTACCACCATAACATACGGGCACACGTACTAGTAGCCTACGTGTCACGTACCACCAGAACATACGGTCACACGTACTAGTAGCCTACGTGTCACGTACCACCATAACATACGGGCACACGTACTAGTAGCCTACGTGTCACGTACCACCAGAACATACGGGCACACGTACTAGTAGCCTACGTGTCACGTACAATGCTGGGGACGTACCACCAGAACATACGGGCACACTTACTAGTAGCCTACGTGTCACGTACCACCATAACATACGGGCACACATACTAGTAGCCTACGTGTCACGTACCACCATAACATACGGGCACACGTACTAGTAGCCTACGTGTCACGTACCACCAGAACATACGGGCACACGTACTAGTAGCCTACGTGTCACGTACAATGCTGGGGACGTACCACCATAACATACGGGCACACGTACTAGTAGCCTACGTGTCACGTACCACCATAACATACGGGCACACATACTAGTAGCCTACGTGTCACGTACAATGCTGGGGACGTACCACCAGAACATACGGGCACACGTACTAGTAGCCTACGTGTCACGTACCACCATAACATACGGGCACACATACTAGTAGCCTACGTGTCACGTACAATGCTGGGGACGAACCAGCAGGACATACGGTCACACGTACTAGTAGCCTACGTGTCACGTACCACCATAACATACGGGCACACTTACTAGTAGCCTACGTGTCACGTACAATGCTGGGGACGAACCAGCAGGTCACACGTACTAGTAGCCTATGTATCACGTACAATGCTGAGGACGTACCACCAGAACATACGGGCACACATACTAGTAGCCTACGTGTCACGTACCACCATAACATACGGGCACACATACTAGTAGCCTACGTGTCACGTACAATGCTGGGGACGAACCAGCAGGACATACGGTCACACATACTAGTAGCCTACGTGTCACGAACCAGTCGGTTCTAACCGTCAGGTTTAGGAACTTTTCAGCTGTAGCCTATAGGCCTATCTTATTTTTATACAGCTTTTTGTTTATGTAAAGCTATACATGTCAGTGGCATATATTATAACGAGTTTACCCAAGTAATTTCCCCTAATTTATTGTCGTTTTAAACTGCTGGGTGGGTGGGGTGAAGGGAGAGAGTGATCAATTCATAATCTGAGCACAATGAATGAATTCTTGGCTCTTTAAATCAAGCAATATCACCTAGTTATCATGCATATATCCTAGTCCTCTTCCGTCTCACACTTAAATGTCCCCCTCTAGACACACCACACTCCATGTGATCTACCAATCAATATCTTTTACTTGAATAAATGTGTCCATCTATCCTGGCCTTTATATATCACAACTCCTAACTAGCCAGATTGTCTGAATAGATGACAGGCCCGTAAATTGAGGCTTCTGTTGGGTAACATTTCTTACTAGTTTTATTTTGTACAGTTACAAATATTTTATTCAAAGGAACAGTACCGAAGGTTTAATACCCTCTATATCCCATTGTGCTAATAGGCAAGAGGTGGGAGGGGTGAAGGTGTTGGACGGCTATAAACTACCAACTTTGTCTTCTTCAAACACAAAAAAATTCAAGTACTGTATATAAACAATCCCTATCTGGTTGTTTAGAAGTAATGATAGTAATGTGTGCAGGAATAATGATATGGCTTGGATTATCCAGTGAAACAAACAGATGGAAGAATAACAAGTAATTAATGCTTACTAAAAACTATTATTTCTGACAAGAGAAACATATTTTCATGACCCAAAATTGAAACAGTTACTCACACACACACATATATAACTATATATCTCTCTCTCTATATATATATACATCTATCTATAAATATATACATCTATCTATCTATCTATCTATCTATCTATCTATCTATCTATCTATCTATCTATCTATCTATCTATCTGTCTGTCTGTCTGTCTGTCTGTCTGTCTGTCTGTCTGTCTGTCTGTCTGTCTATATATATATATATATATATATATATATATATATATATATATATATATATATATATATATATATATATATATATATATATATATATATATATATATATATATACACACACACACGCACACACACCTACAGATGTATGCCATTAGAATCATAGGGACTCTACATCAATATAAATGCATTTTATAAAAATTAAACCAGGGAATTTTGTAATGTAAGGGATTTTTTTAAAATAATGCTTTTCTAGGTGTTTCAGACTATTGGTTATTGTAGGATACCCCCACACAGCTACATTTTAACAGATTGTAATTGTAATCATAAAAAAAAAAAGAAAGTCACACTTCAACATTGTAACTGATAATACTTCATACCATGTGCGCTCAAACTCAAACTACTGTGTAGAAAATTCATTTCTCAACTTTAAGGTTTCCCAATTACTCCCCTTACAATAAAATGTAAGGAGTTGCTTGATTTATTTCTAGTTTCTAGTTCACACATTTAACAACAAAGGCTTGTCAAACATAGTCAAAGTAAAATAGAAAAATATGAAATTAAAATAATATTTCAGACCTTATTGTAGAACAAGTGGTACCCCAATAAGTATAAGTTTCAAATGACAAAAGTACTTCTGTTAAGATACATTTAATGTTTACATTTTATGATTTTTTTTTCATTTCACATCTAGATGTAACAAGGATATCAATATCAGTAGCCTGGTTAAGCAACTCCAGCTCTACTGCCTCTACTGTCGGACACCACAGTAATAAGTGACAAAAATCTAAGTAAGCATTTTCAACATTTATATTTACAACTTTTACTTCATGGATCAACTCCTTTCTAAATTACAAATTAAACTTTTTAGCTAATTCTGGTTTTGTAAAAAAAAAAAAAAAACGTTTAAGTATTTATAATGGAATTTACAAATCTATATATGCATGTAGCAAATGAAAAAAATAAAAATATGTTGTTTTGACCATCTAGTTTTTTGTGTCATTTTGTCACAATGATTAAAGCCCCATCTACTAAACATACGTAAATAAGTATTAGCAAAAACAGAAAACTTCCTTCTTATAACATAACATGTATTTTTTTAATGTCTGGCTTCATTGTAGCTCACATGTTTTATAATAACAATAGTTTACCATTAATGGCACTTAAATGTATTTTAATGCATTGCTAGTTTGGGGTTATGATGTTGTGGGGCTATAAGCTTTATACCATTGGCTATTATAACTTTGGCTATTTATATGAATGTTTAATGTTTTAACAGCCTAAATCCATCATGACGACAATTGTACCATTTTATGGAATCATACAAAGGTGAATAGAGTTTATGAGTTTCTATGACCATGACTGAAGGGACTTTGTGGGCCAGTTGGTGTCTAGAAAAAAAAATCATTTATCAACATGGCTAGAGAGACTCGCGCCCAAGCAATGTGATTTTAAAATTTAGCCCAAAAAATAGAACAAGATTAGGAAGTGAACAATTGCACTCGTTGCTTCAGGCTGGATATTCAGTTTAAAGAGGACCAAATTACTTATACTATCACTGAAAAAGTGTGTAATATTCACCACAAAATCTTTAAAACTTCTTTTTCTTGAATCTTGTCTAGTAAAAGTATGCAAATTAAAAAGATAATCCTACTATTAACAAATGTAAACATAATCTTATGATAACAATCTGTATGTAAAAATGATGATCTGTAACATAAAAAATCTGAACACCTGAAGCGCACATGTCCCTGTATGGCACACACTTGTTACTATAATTCCAAGTAGGTCCACAGCAGCATACAATTTGTTTTTCTCCAAAAATAAAACTGAATTTATAATATTCATAAAGTTGCTCTATTTTTCCTACTTGATATTTATTTTTTTCTCTATCAATTCATTAGGGTGTTTGTACTGATGCAGAAAAGTGCATCAAATAAATGGGTACAACATTCAGAATCAGTTATAGTATGTAGTCATAGTATATTTTATCTCATTATTTTTCTGCTGTACTGTTATGTCATGTAAGAAGATAGGTTGGTGGGAATTTTAAAGTGTAATCTTGAAAAAAAAAGATGTAAGGGTAATAAGGAACTTTGGGTTTGGTTAAGCAACAGGGTGGGGTGGGTGGCAGTAGATGCACTTTACAGCTGACATGACTTTTTTTGAGAAGAGTGATGAAAATGGTCATGTCGTTTTAAAATACCAATAAAATAGCAATAACATTATATTGAGACCATATGTAAGATTTTATTAGGAGCTTTATTCTAAAAAGTGTAGCATAAAATAAAAAAACAAAATATATCTTATGGTTAAACAAAGTATGTGAATTTCATTGTAGGCCTATCAAATATTAGACTAATTGTGCTTTATAACTTTTAAGTTTTCACCAAAAATACTGAAATGTAAAATATTTTACACAATTTACTCCAGTATAGAAAACTAATAATTTTTTAACACACATAATACAATACTTATACTATACACTGCCTTGCATAAGGGAGAGTTCATAAATGATGTAGCATTCTTAGGATGATGTGCAACCAGGGCGGAGAGGATTCATATATTGAGAACACTTGTTTGCATTTTAAAAAAATAATGCTAGAAAATGAATTTTAGTCATTCTTTTGCAATTCTAAAACTTTTTTTTTTAAATTGCTTTTTGCTTATCTAATACTTTTTTTTTTAAATTGCTAAAAAAGTTGATCAGTATACTCAATACTAACCAACTTAAGTAAATATTTTAGAAAGCATGAATAGCACTTAAAAAAACCCCAACAGTGTAGTTTTGAGGGGTGGTTATAAACCTCACTTTAGGGGGGGGGGGGGGGTCTCTGAATTTTTGTGACCATGGAGAGGGGGAGGTAAATTTTATTTTTTTAAAGCGTGATGTCGTTTTTGCATGACCCCTTTAGGGAAAATTAAATAATAGAATGTGAACATATGGTTCTTCAAAGTGTTTGTAGTTGTGCTTTCCTTAAGCCCGTCAATAATAAAAAAAAAATCATGTTAACTTTTTAAGGCAAGGAGAATGTTGTCATCAGAAATAAAATTTAAAAAAAAATAAAACTGCAGGAAAAGAAAATGCTATGAAGGAAATTTGGTTAGGCTTTTACTTTTAAAACAAGTCTTAATTAATTATTTGTTAACTGTAGGCCTAAATTTATAATATTTTCTGATCAGCTATACCCTCATATCCATATGACACACACTAATAGTCGAAGTTGAAAGCAACCTCAACCCCAAATAAACACTAACACTGGAGCCAAGTTATTTGAAATTTCTTTATCAAGTTTATCAACAATCTAAGTCTATACCATCAAATTAGTCCCTGTGGGTGTGATAAATAAAACCGGTAGGTATTAAACTTAAACACATATGTACATTGTCTGTTTAATATCTTATTAACAGTTATGGTTAGCATTAGGGTAGAGAGCATGCAAACAACATAGCTCTGACTGACATTATCATCATGGATTGCTTGCTGATTTATTTTGAAACCTATTAGGCCAATAGCAAATAACACACCCCTATAAAAAGGTGTAAAAGTGTCTCTTAGTCTTTGCATGTTGAGGTGAACAAATTACAATTCAATTGCCAGTTTCTTCAAAATAAATAATATTCAATTTGGCCTACAAAAAGATTATAATGACAGAAAATAATATAGTAGCTAAACAAAGGGAAAATTACAATTGCGACCATGAATCATACAGTTTTCACTAGGAGTTAGGCTATTAACAGAACTTGTAGTCTTATTTATTTTTTACTATTTAGCCTTTATAATAGTAATTTAATTAGGCCTACATAGATGTAGTACCTAGATCTTCGATCCAGCTAGTACTTGCAGTTAATGTACTATGTGACATATGAGTCTGTATTCTTAATTCACAATATATTAAAATTAACTGGGTTATTAACTTAACTTACTAGACTAGCTTGATGTTTATTGTTTAGGCTTAGATTAACTAACTAAATACTAAATATAGAATCTAAACTCTAAACGTTAAGCCTTTTTTCATAATATTGTTTTCAATGTGGCACGTTTTGGCCAGGGTCTGCCTACAATTTAAATGCAAAAAAATAATCGTCAATAGATCTAGTTGATTAACAAGCAAAATTCTATGAATTGTGATTTTTAAAAAAAAAAAAAAAGCTCTGTTGAGATTCTGAGACACTAAATAAATTTTCACCCTCCCCGAATCAACACAAACTAAATCTAGACTTTCTAGATCTAGATTTTTCTACTACCACCTATGCTAAGGTTAGTACACCTAGATTTTTCTAGATTTAGATTTCTAGATCTAGATTCTAGATCAAAGTTTCGTTTAAAGACAACTTATTCAACTAAGACTTACTAAGAGTAAGTAAGTAAAGAAAAGAGAATGAACGGAACAAAAAGTACCAGATCGGTGATTTGTTTAGACTGACATGAAATATTTAGAGTTCAATCGCGTTTGATTTTTGACTAAACAACAAATACCTACTTTACTAGTCCTATCTGTATTAAATATTCTTGAATCATTTCTAGTAAAATTTAGATCCCGGTCTCTTTGTGAGATCAAGCCAGCTGATTCTCCATTCTCCATGTCTTCCGACATTTTGATTGTTTTGGGTCACGTGATCCGAAGGCTGTATTTGTCTCAACGAGGCCCTCTTTGGGGAAGTCATGTTAAGAAATAAAATTGTAGTTAAAGACCTCAGTCTAAAATGTTTATAGAATCCATAGATAAGACAAAGTATTGGTTTGTATTGTGTGCTGTTTAAAATATAATTATATTTCTATGGTCAACACCCAATAAACAGTTGTTTATCGGTGCAAGTGCAATTAGACTAGAATATTTTATTATTTACAAGAGCAGACTTCAGTTAGTTAATAGTTAACTAACACGTATAATAGTTAGATCTAGATTTAATAGATTCTATTCTAGATCTAGATGATATAGATCTAGATCTATATTTTAGATCGTCTCCTGGCTGAGATGGCGGGATGACCTCTGACCCTGAAACGTCACTCGTCGTTTTTTTCGTTTTTTTCGTTTTTTTTAGGGGTCCGTTACACGACAAATGAAAAAACTGCTAATATCGCAAAATCTCATCATTATTTTAATGTGAGATGCTAACTAAATGGACGCCATGCCTTAAAATGTTCGAAACATTCACGAGATACGTGGTTTTAATTAATACACGCTATTTTTGTCGAGTACTCTTGGGAAAAACTGAACTGCCGCCTTAAACGGCCCAGTACATGGTCGAAACCCCCTGGTACAAATGCAGAAATATATAAATGAGATATTTATAATGATTAATTACAGATATGTTGATACATTTTTTAAAAATCGAATATGAGGATGAGGTACCCATGCAGAAATTTCTGTCCGCTTTGTTTACTATCGTGACGTCATTGTTACGCTAGTTACCTCACAGAAACAACTAGTTTTTGTTTTTTGCGGAATGAACCTTTAATTATAATTCAACTGTAGCGTGTGCAGAAAAAGTAAAATTGTGGAAATTATTATTGTATTAGTAATTTTATTAAAATATGGCCTATATTGATTTTTTTTCTTCACTGTGGGCCGACAGTAGCTGCATTGAATTTAATTCGTGACCGGTAGTTAACCTCGTCAACGCTGCGTGGCCTATTCGTTTATATAATCAGTGATGCTCGTTCAGTGGCCTTTTTCAAAGCTAGGCCTAATTTCGGGCGATTTTTAGACTTATTTGATAGGCCGTTAGCCTTTTTCATTGCTGCGTATTTTAAACAATGCTTGTTCAGCGGCCTTTTTTTTTTTTTTTTTTGGCGCTAAATAATCTGTTTACGGGCATTTTAAGCGTTTATGTGTTTATTATTTTTAAAGCTAGACGTAGATCTAGTTTTAAAAAATGTGCGCGAGCATCATTTTCGTCTGTTAAAATTACAATTGGTTTAAGTTCAGGATGGAGATCTTTTATCGTTTTTTTTTCTTGACAGATTTTATCAAGATAGATCGACTTCAAGTTGATATTGAATATTTAAATTACTTTACCTTACTACATTAAACTACATTTGCTTTATCTTTTAAGAGAGTAGACAAAAAAAATTAAGCTAAGTTTTAAAATTAGTCTTAGTTTTGTATCCATTCGGCTCTACTCTATTATAATTTGCTTGAAGAAGGGGGGGGGGGGGGGGGGGGGAAGAGAGAGAAAGAAGTGAAGACACCGACGATCTCGTGTACGCGTGTTCATTCTATGACGTGTACTACAGGCCTGCTGACCGCACAGTGACCCCTCGACCGTGGTGGGATTTTTCACCGCGGGATAGTAAACATAAGCAAGCAATCACGCGAGTGACGATGTTTGGAGATTTTATTAAAAAAAAATTACACGTCACGTTTTCAATATGAAAAAAATGTAATGTAAAAAAAAAAGACACTAATACCGTGTATGAACTTCAGCTTCCACACTGTTGACTCAATATAATGTGAATTGAGTTAGGCCTATTTCTTGTATTTATAGACTATCATAACAATCATATTATTTTAAGCATATTTAATAAAATTAGAATTTGAAATAAAATATTTTTTATGGTAATTTGAGTTATGCAAGTGTTCATTATTTCATAAAAAATGGTATGAATAACATGTAGAGTAGAATTTGTAATGTACATTTTCCTTTACCAATTTCATAAATAACTAGATCTAGTTTTATTATCAATCAGTTGGTTTTTTTTTTGTTATTTTCCGGTGAGTAAATAACCTAAGTTGACACACCCCTTAAAAAACTTGTGCACACCAGTTCACGACGTCATGCCATGCCGGCAGGGATCGAGAACGTGGGTTTTGTCATTCATTTTCCATTCTAGACAAATTTTAAAATTGTCTCTTTTCTCGTCAACTGAGTAAGCTAGATATTTAAATGTGGTGTCAAATGTTCTCTTAAGGGGTAAGGAACTTAATAGTGTATTTGAAATAACAGAATATTTTATTTAAAAAAATCCATAATTAAACCTACTATATTTTAAGTTTCTTACCTCTCATCGTTTAGTTAGTATTAATAGTATGCACATGTTACAGATAGATCACATATTAATTTTCTACTAGCGGATGTGTATGAATTTAAAATTTAATCATAAATAGTCTTATTTTTGCAATTTAGTCCTTTAGTTTAATTTTATTCAACTGTAATTTTGAATCTAAATCTAGATAGATCTAGTAAAACCAGTGTTTTTTTATTGTTTTTTTTTAAAATTTGCTCTAGATCTATGTGATAAAAAAATGCTTTAACTTTAAAAATTAGCAATTCTCCCCTTGGAATTTTAGGTTTTAAAACATCACCAAGATATTCTAAAATTATAAAATAGTCATTAAAAGAACTTAACCTATTGCAGGATTTTTTGAGTTCCGGTAGTCTACATGTAGACATTGTAGATCTAGATATGTTCATTTTGACAAAAAAAAAAAAGGTGTATTGAACGCAAATTAAATAGGAAGTAACGGCACATAGACAAATTAATTAGGAACATACGGCACGCATATCTAGATCTATAGACGCACAACAAAGGCGAGAAAACACTAATGGAAATAAAAACAGTTTACACTAGTTTACGGATTCATGCGTGATATGACAGCGGAGGACAGCATGGCAACTAAATTAAAGACGATTTCATTAATTATCATTTGATGAACATTTATTGGAGTATTTAAATTCCTTAGACTCACAATAACAACCAAACACAGAAAAAACGCATTGCTGGCATGTCTGATACGACGGAGTGTGGGGGGTGGGCTGAGAGAAGCCCCGCACTGAGTTGCCACGTTGGTAAAATAATATTTTTTAAAATTGAGGTCTAAATGACAGATAATATTAATACATATTTTAGGATCAACGGAAAATTATAGTTATACAAAATTTATTTTGAAAAGCAGTATTTATCATTGATTAATAAAATTTAAGGGGGGGGGGGGGGTAAAACTATCTTTAGAGCAAAAATAAATTACCAAATCTATTCTTAATCTTAGAAATCATTTCAGTGTGGGTCACCTGGCAAAGTGATCGTTTAGGGATATTTTTAAAAAATCATAAAAGTAATAGGACCTACACGTCTATAGTCCGCGAGCCTCTTATACGGGCCGCTGATTAATGGCGTCACGATCTCTAGGACGATTTGGACCCCTCCCCTCTTTTAGCGCCACGCATAGTTAACACATTTACAACAATTATTTTCTGAAATATCAAGTCTATTGAAGTGAGCTGGGTCAACATTAGTTAGATTCATTGGTCAATTTTTATTGCGACTTACTAAAATAACACTAAAATCCGTTTAGAATTGATTTTAAAAGTACTAAAACGTGTCGTGACGTCACACTTTCTTATTTCACCAAAGTCTGAGACCCATTCTCTTCCCTAGGAGTGACGTCATTTATGAATGACAAATACACAAAGGTAGATTTTGGGAAGATATTGATGTTTTATGATTAGGAAAAATTCAATTGCAATTTTGAGGGGGGTGGGTGTAGGCTGAGGTGTGACGTCATTTTTAGGGGGGGGGTATGGCTTTTTGTGACGATATGTGACGGAGGGGAGGGGGGGAGGTAAAAAAAAAGCATGACGTCATTTATGGATGACCCACATACAGCTATGATTTTGAATAGTAAATGATCTTTTTTGTGGGGTTGGGCTATCTTTCTACTATTTTTTTACCAGTTTTGTAAAGTAGGTCTCAAGCCAAAAAGAAATAACAAATTAAAAAGGGACGTTACCCATTGCCCGAGAGTAAGGTAAATACAGTCCATTCCAAAACAAAGCTCTTGGGTGATTGCAAAGCGTTACTTAATGTTACTTGCTTTTATATGGTAATTTAAAAATCTATGACAAATTTTTAAAATCTCCATCGTTTAAAATGATGGGAGGTTATAGAATTATTATTAGATAGCAGGGGATGTAAACAATGTGTAAAACAAGCTACGCATAAGCAACCAACTTGAAAAAAATAAATCTGTTATGTCCTCAGTGTTCTGGAGGGAGATGAAACGCTTCATTGATAGTATGATGGGAGCGGGTGTGAGAAAGCCTATATTGTTGTCTCTCTGACGCTCCGGTTGTCAAACTGGTCTTTAACATAGTTCCGTGTACACTGGCTCTTTGATACATCACATGTCATACCCACCTTTCTGGTTGAAGGTTTAGGTGCTAGCACAATTTAGCGACAACAGAACGAGCATTGTGTGCGGAGCTAGCCTACCGTGGCGCTGTTAGATCTAGCTGTCTACAACAGAAACACTATCTGCTAGCCTTGAGTTAATTGTCTTTGTTTGCCAAATAGTTCCCAGCCGTGTTCACACCCAGCTAACCTACAAACATAAAAATAGATGTGTGTGCTCACATATTCAGTTGAAACAGTGCATTCGTACTTTGCTTGGAATAATTTACTACACACCTACTGAGTTAGTACACAGAACAGATGACCCAATCAAAAAATGACATAAAGAAATGAATAAGTCTCTTTGACTAAGAACACAATAATAAATATCTGATGAATTCACATTATGCAACCTCCATATATATATATATATATATATATATATATATATATATATATATATATATATATATATATATATATATATATATATATATATATATATATATGTATATATATATATATATATATATATATATATATATATATATATATATATATATATATATATATATATATATATACACAATCTATTAATGTATTGTTAAACGTATTTTCTTGTGTTGAAGGGTGCATTAGAAAAGTAAGGGTACGCTCTGTATCAACAAAGAGACATGAGTGACTTAGTCCACGAAGCTCTCTCCCTCACAACCGAGGGGGAGACGGTCAAAGATATGCAGTCAGTCTCAGAGTTTTCCCAGGACATCGAGTCCACCACCGACGTCCACGAAGAGGCCCAGCCGGCCGAATCCTTCACCACTGAACACCGGGCCGAGTCCTACATCAGCGACCACGGGGGAGAGTCCGAAACGGAACAGCGGGTGGAATCTGAAACGGATCTTCAAGCATTGGAACAAGTGAGCCCGGATGTTCTCAACCCCGAGGAGCCGGTGAAAAACCCGAGCATTGTGCTGCCTCAAGCTGCTGAAGACCCAGTGGCTCCACCACGACAGGCGGAGAAGCCACAGGTTGCAGTGGGCGCGGTCAAGAAGTCAGGAGGGGTAGCGCTACACACAGTACTTTGTCATTATGCCGCGCCTGTCATACATGACCCGACCAAGCGGGTGGTTCGTCCCGTATCGGACCGGATACCTGTCAGTTCTTACGCCGGGCCGGATAGACAGCTGGACTTGGAAAGGTAATCTAAAATCGATTGGCTGGCCCGTTTTCTTTTGTTTTAGATACAGTGGGCTTTACGTATTTAAGCCGTCGGAAAATCCCTTATACGCTAATCCTATGTGTCAGCGCTCTAAATTCTCGTGTCGGCGTTTTTAAATAACGAAATGCATTTTGTTGTAGAATTATCCACAAAATAAGCTGAAGCTGTACTGTAATGTAGAAAATCACAACAACACAGTATTATCATGTTTACAGAAATAGTTTTTAGTATTGTAGGCATATAGACTTACGTTCTTCTACTAATTATTGTCTTGTTCATATTCTACAAGTACCGTGGTGTGCTTCTGTAACAACGTGCCCTAGTAATGACGTACTCCTCCAATGACGTACTCCTCCAATGACGTTCTCTTCCATTGACGTTCTCTTCCACTGATGTTCTCATCCGATGACGTACTCCTCCAATGACGCACTCCTCCAATGACGTGATCATCCAATGACGCACTCCTCCAATGACGTACTCCTCCAATGACGCACTCCTCCAATGACGTACTCCTCCAATGACGCACTCCTCCAATGACGTACTCCTCCAATGACGCACTCCTACAATGACGTACTCCTCCAATGACGTACTCCTCCAAAGACGTACTCTTTCAATGACGTACTCCTCTAATGACGTTCTCATCCAATGACGCACTCCTCCAATGACGCACTAATCCAATGACGTGATCATCCAATGACGTACTCCTCCAATGACGTACTCCTCCAATGACGTACTCCTCCAATGACGTACTCCTCCAAAGACGTACTCTTCCAATGACGTACTCCTCTAATGACGTTCTCATCCAATGACGCACTCCTTCAATGACGAGATCATCCAATGACGCACTCCTCCAATGACGTACTCCTCCAAAGACGTACTCCTCCAAAGACGTACTCCTCCAAAGACGTACTCGTCTAATGAGGAGTTCACCCCTAGCTTACTGCTCACAGATACAATCTGAACTTGTACAAAAAAAACTGCCAGCGTGAGTGGACATCGAACGCCGCAGCCTCAGACCCACCGCGGGCACAGAAGAGCAAGCTGTACAGGGTGAAGAAGAAGAAGCAGGTGGATGACTGGCTCAAGGCTGAGGAAAAAACCAAAGAGAGGCGGGACCATGAACTGGCGGTAGAGCTCGGGTTTGTTCTAGCAAGTTCTGATCTTTCTTGATGGCCTCTGGGGTGGGGGGGGGGTGTTGTTCTAAGATCTGTGACACGATCTCGTCTGTGTAGATGACCACTGGGGTGTGGGGGGGGGGGGTGCTTGCATGTGGTTGGGATGTGACTTTGTTCAAACTTTTGTGGACATATGCTGCTTGTGATGGGGTGACCATTAAGACGCGTGATGTTGTATACATTCTGTAGTTTTTAAAGCACACGAGGGATTAAAATTAAAAACATTGATTTACGTTAGAACTATAGCTATTTAGTGGAGGGGTAGAAACAGAGAGACATCCTTATGTACTTTATAATGACTTAGTTGACAGATTTGTTTACCGTTAACACAAATCTTCCTTAGTTTACGCCTAAGAATAAAAAAAAACCAAAGCAAAAGCAGAAGAAACATCGAACCCACCACACAGTAAACTGATCATGTCCTTCCATTAGGTACGAGACACTCGTAGGCAACCTGCTGTATATTGACATCCCCGGCGGACGTGACGTCAACCGCAGCTGGGAGAACTTTCTCAGCCATGACGAGATGGACTGGGGATTCCCCTACTTCAAGGGCAGCAAAGAAAGGCCTCGTGCCAAACAGCCAGAGCCCTACCTCGCCCACCAGGTCGGGCGCTTGTCTTTGTTCTGTCGGCTCACTGTTACAATTGTTACAATCAAACACACTGGCTAATTGACATGCCATTAGCAGCTAGTGTAAACGGTCTCTCAACCGTTGAGACTTTACAATTAGATGGTTTCTCTCTTCCATACTCAGGTGGTGGAGAAACTCTGGAAATTCCCGAAGGCTCGCTTGACCCGAACCAACGTTGAGGAGCAGGACATGTCTTTGGTTTAACGCTTCGAGGAAAGGAACTGGCAATGGCCGCAGTGGAATCAAACATACAACGTTGTCCTGAAGCACCGAATAATAATTGTAGATCAAATGGAAAACACAATCAACTAACCATCTAAAACAATATGTAGTGGTCATCTGTCCACCAGGAGAAGCAACCTACCCATCCAGTGTTTCTTTCAGACTTTTTTCTGTGGAGGGGAGTGGGGGGGGGGGGGGGCGGTAGACGTTTTTCGAGGAAGGTAGGTCCCCCCCCCCCCCCCCCAAGAGGTGCCTGAAAGAAACTATTCACATCATGTTGCTAGTACCACACCTACGCACGCTACAAATAAACCAAACATCTTTATGACCAGCTTCCATCACAACCAGACCACAAGCACGTACCCATCCATTGAACACGTTTAGACATCAGTTTAACTTAAAGTCCATTCAATGACTTGAAATACTTACATTAAAAATGCTGTGGGCTGCGTCACTCACCAACAGAATTGTCTTTTTCTTATAACTTGGATAAAGTGTATTTTTTTTAAAATATAGCTGGGCGAGTGGGGGTGTGTGGGGTAGGTCCTTTTTGCAAGATCTTTTTGATTAGCCCGAACACAAGCCTAAATATTTCAAGCAACAACAGCACTTCATCGTAAGGGTGTCAAACTGCCGTAAAAACCGGATTTTTCGCCCGCATCGCCCAAATATAGTAGCTTTTCACTTCATAGTTTCCATAATAAAAAGGGCTCGTATAGTAATAAGTTTGGTACCATTAAAAAGTAGATTTTAAGCCCTCTAATTATGTGTAATTTTTATAGTTATTGATATTGAACAATATATCTCATTTATCAATTGAAAACTATCACCGAGATGATTTTTCAACGGCAGTCGAGTAACGGATTTTGACCCCTCTCTCATTCAACTCGCGGGCCTTTTTTGACCGTTCAACGTATTTCTTTACAAATACCTGTAAAATGTGCAGAATTGAATAGCCTTTAATGGGATACTAAACAAAAAAAATGCATAATAGACTTAATATTTTAAATGTTAAACCAACTAAGAAATTTGAAAAATACCATGTGATTCTATCATCGTACATATTTTTTATTAGCATATTAAGAAAGGTGGTCCTTTTTTCTGTCAAAACACTTATTTTGTTTATAATTTCTGAGCATGGTAAAAAAAGGCAGAGCTCGACAAAACACACTATAGCGATCACTAAAATAGCTCTAGGCCCGGTCGAAGAAAATGGCCGTTTTCTTCGTTAACAACGCACCACCAAGCTTTTCTAAATTGATGTTAGCAAGTTTTAGAGGCTTGATAGTTCAGTAAGATAAATAAAAACATGTAGCTACTTAATAAACAAGTTTGTGAGTCTAGTTTTTATAGTATATTTCTTCAGTATATTTTTATTATTAAAGCTATAACGCCGATCAATGATTAGACTTCCAAGTAATTTTTCAGCTTCGCCAGATGAGCTAAACCCCACTTCACTTTGTATCTAAGTCTATTTTTTTCTGATTGCTTAGTTCAAATATTTTTGTCTTTTCTGATAGAGGGTACTTTGAAAATTAATTGCAACATATTTTAAAAATCTTTTTAGAATAGCTGAATATTTTTTCCTGTTAAATGTAAAAGGTCACGTGATCGTACGCTTTGTCGCCAGTGTCAACAATGTATGGGGATAGTTTAAAGTAGAAAACCCCGCACATTTAATGCATGGGTTGGGTTTTAGCGATGATTTTAAACTAAATAGTACATGATGTGTAGATTGAAATACTTTACATTACCAAAGAAATCGATTTTTTAGAGTGTTCTTTTATTTCAATTTTAACTATATGTTATGTTAATGCCTCCAAAACTTTCCTGTGATGGGGGGAGGGGGGGGGGGAAGCGAGATATTTACTACAGTTGTAACTATGTCAATATATATATATATATTAATGATCTGTGCACGAGTGCAGATGCATTTACACTTTGCAGTCAGCTTGGAAATAAACCCTTATTAGATTCATTTAAAAGAATATAGCCCTTGTCTAAGAAAAAAAAATTGTTACGTTCTCTAAATTATGTTGACCGTTTATGGTGATTATTGTGGCTATTGATTACATATTTTCAGGTTATAGTTGTGAAGAACGAATGTTGGGACACTAAGGGTGAGAATGCAAGACTAGCATGGTTTATCTATTTTAAGCTAGTTGTATTTAATAAGCACGTGTATTTTGGTGTAGCCCTAACATATCGCTAAAATCGTTCAACCTGCTATGTATAAATACATATTTATAACATAAACATACATCGACTGATGCACTCTAAATATATGTTGTTACTTTTGAATGTACTACTGGTTCTAGAGACTAATAATTATTTCAACAACAAAAATTTCTTTATGTGACCCTAGGACTGTTCCAGCCACAATTGGATCGCACATAAATTAATCACAGACACAAACACTGTGTACCTGTTGAGAGCTATGATTATCCTTTATTTCTATGTACTCAGATCTACTGTAGGTGTCATAATTTATTTTTTGTAAATTTTTTAAAAAGACGCATTTTCGACAGATTGTGAACCCCTGCACTCTTCTGATCAAACGTGTGTTTCAAACGTACTTGTTATAGGCATACATATAACTTAAATTCAAAGAAGCGTTGTTCCCCTACATTTTGATATACTTATCAAGTACGTTCTTTCATCAGACATTTTTTGGTGATGTTTTAAAAATGTACAAAATTTGTGTTTTTTACTTCCCTTTTTAATTTTTTCAAAAAGTGAGAAAAGCCAATTTTAATGCAATTAATTTAAATGATGTACTTATTTTTGAGGTTTGAAAAAAATTGAGTCTGTTCTCTGTGTATGTGTGTTTGTGTTGAGTTCAAAAGATTTTGTTTGTGACATATACTTTTACAGATATAACCTCTCAAACATGGCACTTTTTAGGGTGTTGAAAAAAAAGTTAAAAACCAATTTTTTTAAAACGTCACAACTTTTTTACTATTTGAGATATATGAACAAATTTAGTGCCCACTATCTTAGAATCATGAGTTCTTGACATAGCAACTTTCAAAAAAGCCCTGGGACCGTTTTAAAAAATCAGTTTGACACCCCTACATCAAGTCCCGCGCTATACCTGAAATTTAAAATAGCCTTAATATAAACCTAACACTATTCCTAATTCGACAGAACCTATGGTATTGGCATCACAGCAATGTGCGAATATGTTGCTACTCACGATGGAGGAGAACGCGTATCTAAATATAGTAGCCAATTAAATAGCTATCGGTATAGATCACGGGTTCCCAACCTGGGGGTCGCGACCCCCCTGGGGGTCGCGAAGGTCTTTCTGGGGGGTCGCCAACTGGTATACTAAACCTTAGTGCCTTAGTAATTTGAAGCAAAACATACATATTTAGAAGAATTTTTGAAATTGGGCTTCATTAACATCACTGGAAATGTAATAGAGAAGAAACAAAGCGCACTGTACAAAGTTGTTCTCAGTCACGAATCTATGAAATCTTCAAAACTAAAACGCCATTTGAGACGAGTCATTCGGAACACACCAAAAAATATATGGAGTTCTTTCGTCAGTAAGAAGCTAGTTGCAAACGCCAGAGACTTGATCGAACAGGAAGTTTTCACCAGAATTAGTGCAAGCATCAAATGAAGTCGCGATAGAAAATGCCAAGCAAAAAAAAAAAAAAAAAAAAAACATTAGGAGAAAATCTCATCAAACGCTGCATGTACGTAAATGTTAAATAACACATTTTTATCGAAATTAAGCTTTCACCATTGTTTGCTTTTCAAGTTGATAAATCAACAGACGTGAGTTCGTGTTCGCAGTTGCTGGTCTGTGTCTATATTCATGCGGATGATAGCAAAGAAGAGTTGCTCTTTTGTGAAGATAGCATGAAGAAAATAAATACCTTTTTTTGAAACTGGATGATTAAAATGGGTTAGAACGGCTGTGGGGATTTGTACGGATGGTGCGCCATCTATGTTTAGCTCAAAATCGGGCTTTCAGAAAACAGAAAAGATTTAGCTCCCTAACCACTGCCCTAACCAATCGACATCAAGAGTCCATTGCTAGTGTAAGTCGTGAGTTATACAAAATCTGGAGCCTTCAAAGAACTGAGCAAAAACATTAATATAGATCACAAGGTTCTGCTCTTCTACACTACAGTACGCTGGCTGTCAAACGAAATGTTGTAAATTGTGTTTTTGAATTGAAATCTGAAATCAAATTGTTCTTGGAAGTGCAAAGGAAACAAGACTTTTTGGTATAGGCCTACTTAAAACGACATAGAGTGGTTGGAGAGAGTATCATACCTAGCAGATGTGTTCGAACATTAAGATAAGCTTAATCTGAAGCTTCAGGGAAAATGAACAAATATTATAACTTTCCATGATAATCTCGGGGCATTTTTATCAAAGCTGCAAAATCGGTAAAGAAAATAAATCTTGGAAATATTGTAAATTTGAGAAGCTCTGCGGTGTGGTAGATGAATCTGATTGTGAGATAATTAAAATTTTGAAAGAAGCGATTTCTGGGCATCTTGAATCTCTTGAAAACGAAATGCATCGCTGTTTCTCTGAGCTGAAAAAATAAAAATCTGCATTTACGCATTACCCATTCTCTTCTTCCCTTGATGTTGCCAGCATTACCGATGAACTACAAGATGAATTCTTTGATTTGCAGAATGATTCCGAATGAGATGAAAAAATTAAGATAATTATAATGACATAGGTTGGCGTTAACAATTTTTTTTTAAATTAAAAACTTAACCACGAAGGTTTAGTGAATAGTATTCAATAGTATTCAATTTTACTCATACTATTAAAATAGTTATCAAGAGTAATTCATATTGAAAGTCTACTAGAAAATCTTATTTTAGTGCTTATTAATTTCCATACTAATTTCGTCTTTTTAATTCTATGGGGGTCGCGGGTCAATTACTTTTTATAAAAAGGGGTCGCCACTCGAAAAAGGTTGGGAACCACTGGTATAGATAGATAATAATAAAAATTAAATAATTAAGGGAGATAACTTTTAAAACTTTAAAAAGAACATTTTGTTTTAAGTTGTTTTTCTTCTAGATTCTTCTAACCTAGCTCTGTGCCATTGACTTGTGCTCCAGTTTTACTTTTAGTCAACAGCAAAAATATCGTGATACGTGCTTTCTGCAGAGAGAAGCAGAAACTACTAAAATTAAAATAAATACGTCAGCT